TTTGGGAGACAATTTGGAAAAAGGTGGGGGGGGGATGAGTAATGATTTTGGGAAATGTAATGGGCTTAAACCCAAAGGTTTGGGGGGGGGGGAAAAGGGTGGAAAGGGGAATGGGAGAGCGTGGGTTAAAGGGGAAGAAGAGGCAAAAAACCGGGAGGTGGAGAAGGGAAAAACTTGGGGGGGGAAAAGGGGAGGAAAGGGACAGTACGAGGGGGGGGGTGAACCTTTCCCCTTGTAAAAAGAGCCAGTGGAAAAGGGGGGGGGAACCCGGTTTCAGAGACGGGAAGGGAAAATGGGGGGTGGAAGTGGGTAGGGGGTGTTAACGGACCTTTTTTTGACTTTTTTAGAAAATAGAGGGACGATTGGGAGGAGGTTTTATTTGAGATCTCGTCGCTAAAAAAGGCTTGGAAAAGAAACACGAAGAAGCGAGATCAGACCCAGATTTGAAGTAGGGACGTCTGAGCCCAAAAGGGCAGCAAAAGAATTTGCTACAGGAGTGATATGGGGGAGGTAAACACAGAGGGGGTTTCAGAAGATGGGTTTCCAGGAAATGGGGGGGACGTTTTTAAAAAGGGAAATAAGAAAAAACGAGGGTTTGGGGCTTTCCCCTTTGGGGGCGGGGATGAGAAACTGGGCCTTTGGGTAAGGGAGACCTTTTTCCTCTTTTAGGGAAGGATTTTTCCCCCTCGTTTTAAATAGGGCTTTTCACGGCGAGAGTTTCGAAGGGGGAGCCTCATGACAAGGCAAAAGGGAGGTCGATTGCAAGAGGGATTAGAATGGTTTATCGGCACCAAGACTGGGCATTCGGCGATGTTTTGCAATATTTCCCCTGGATGGCCAAAATCGCCAGCAAAATTTTTACACTGTTGCGGTGTAGGGGTCACCTTTCGAATTGTAAAACCCAAAGTCCGCTACATAAACTGAGGAGGGGTTGTTCACGGTGTTTAAAAATTAAAAGGCCCCCTTTCCCAGGGTTTTGTCTCCCCCCCGCGGGCGGGGAAAACGTTAAATGTTAACCCTTTAGGATTGGGGGATTTGGAGTTCCAGCTGTTCAAGAATGTCAGTGCCACATGTCTGGGAAATTTTTTTGGGAAATATGGGGATGGGGGCCCGAATTTACGGTTCCACTACAAGAATTTAGGGAAAGAGGTTTTCAAAAGTTACAGGAACAGTTCCCATATGGAAAGACCGGGGGAAAAACTCATGAGCCCCCGGGTTTTGCATTCTGTACGGTGACGATGGCCCCGTTTCCGCTTTAAGAGAAAGAAAAGAAATATCTTTACCCAAAATGGCGTAAAGGAAAAATTGCCTTTTTTCCCAAAATGTGGTCAGGGAAAAAAAAGGGAGTAGGGGGTGCGGGGGGGTAAAAGGGGGAAAAAGGGCAGGGGCAGGTTTTAAAAATGACGGGGAAAAAGGGGGGAGGCCCAAAAAACAAGGGGAGGGGCATAGGGGGGGCGGGGGGGCAAAAGGGGGCCACGGGCGGGGCATTGAAAAGGGCCGGGAACGTAGGGGAAAGGGGGGGGGCTTAGTTGGAAAGGGGGGGAGTAAAGAAAAGGGGGTCGGTCGAAAGGAAAAATTTTTTTCCTTTTTTAAAAAAAGGGGGGGGAAAAGGAGGAAGGGTTCGACCCTTTTCCCCCAAAAAAGAAAGAGAAAGGGGGAAGATACGGGGTTTTTCGGGTTGGGGCCCGGGGGGGTTTTAGGCTGGGCCAGGTTGGTTTTTTTTGAAGTTTTGGAAAAAAAGGGGCCGGGGATTAAAAACCGGAGGTTAAAAGGGGA